GATCGGATGCGGATGGCAGCGCACATGCTCGGGGACAGCCAGTGGTGCAGCGCACAAGATCCGAGCGGCTTGCAGGCTTGATTTCGGAGGCGGCCAGCGGCGTTTGAGATCTTGGCGGCAGGGGCCGAGCAAGAGCAGGCCATCTACGGGGATGATGGTGGCCGGCGGCGTTTGAGATCTTGAGCGGCTGGGGCCGAGCAAGAGCAGGCCATCTACGGGGACGATGGTGGCCGGCGAGCAGCAGGCGGGCCGAGCAAGAACATAGCGATGGTAAGCAATACCTTTACGCCAACGTAAACCAAACAAACTTTGAAAAATCTCATTACACCTCCGTTAACAGTGTGATCTGATTATGTTAACGTTGCCGTTAACGTTTCTGTTGCCAAACACCTCCTAAGGGACTCTTTCAATATGAGAGAATTCGATCCAAGTCCATTACGCTTACTTCAAAATCCTAAAAAATTCCAGACAAAGCCTGCTTGGTAACATTTTAGGCGTTAATAATGCTTTACTCATAAAAGAACATTGCCAAAGTGATTAGATGGCATTGGAAAACTCGAAACATAAGCCATATAGCTTTGTTTAATATTACTAAGGTATATAGCCATTAGTTTGTTTTAACATGGAACCCAAGAGTATGTGACTCTAGCACCCTGAGAAAGATGTTAATATGCCATCATACTAGCTGATAGACAAACATTCCAGGAAGAACTCCTAGGTTCAGATAACATATCTTGTCCGAAAATATTTTGAACTGCTGAAAAAGTTATCAAGGGCAAAAAAAGAGTAAAGGCTAACATACAGTGCTTAAGATTTCTGGAAACTATATATACAGTTTGCTTAATAAATAAAAGATTTTGTGCAGGAAATTCATATACCTTATGTCCATGGTTGACCGGTGCAAAGCCTCCTGTATGCTTGGGGACAGATCTGAACCATCTTGATCAATAGAGGGCCCAGCACTGTTTTCCGGTTCGAAAGGAACAATAGCGTTTTCTATTGGTAGATGTCTTGCCGAATGATTTGTGTCCAAAGAAGGATATAGATCCATATCCTGAGATCTTCCCCAGACCTAAAAACATAAGTACATGCATAAATAATTTGATAATGTACTGGTAAGTACAAACCCACAGAATAGTGCACTGATTAACTATGGCTCCTAGCGCAAGTTACCCTGAATTGGTACTTAGAAGCTACAAAAATTCAACGGAGCAGCATAAACCAAGCAACTTTTACATAAGCAATTAACAACAGAGACAAAGTATGCTCCCAACTGGTAAATCAGGGGATGGGCTCGTCCAAACAAAATGTAGAAACAGTTAAGTGTGCTTCATTGTTCTGAATTTCTGATCTATCTGGCAGTTTGTTACCACGTTTAAAAAAACATTAGTATAGATATCTACTCATCATTTGGTTGCAATATATCTAGACCTGCACATTCAAGTCGGAAAGCATCAACCTGAAACTTCTGAGCACAAACGTTGAGGAAATTATGGGGCTTTGCTGATCAGCAGGTGTCAGTTTTAACATCAGAACCAAATACCATATCTATACAATTAAATAATTCATCAAGACAAAAGCTCCCTGAACATAATGTCTCTACTGGGTTGTTTCATATTCGCTTCCAAAGCCAGCTACACATTAAACTGCTGCGACTTCAATGAAAAATTCTGAAATTATCCTGAAATTTCTTTATTACAAAATTGTTTCATATGACATGTTACTTACTGGCTCCCCTCCACCTGTCGAGCACCATTTATATATACTAATACCCAATGAAATAGTTGTCATAGTTCATGCTTACTATTTTTTCTTGCCAAAACACATTGTTAAATAGTTGACCCATTATTTCAGATCATAAAAAGTGCTCAAACCACTAGAATTTTAGAGATTCAGCATCCAGCATCACATGCTGCTTGCCAAAAACTGGGCCCAAAGTCTACAATACTCACAATGCACCTTTGGTTAACCCGCTGAACTAAACTTTTTAGGCAAAATAGGCGATTGCAATCAATTTATCCCACATTTGTGGAATACTCCGTTAGCCTATTTACTGTTCAACCATTACTTGGGTTGGATGGTGATGCATAGCTTGACTTCTTTTTATGTCCATCATCATGGACTCTTGATGTGAAATCAAAAGATGCTTCACATCATAGGCGTGCCCACTTTTGAGGGTTAACATTTAGTGAACATGTAGTCAAGCTTTCCAGTCTAAGACAGCCACCTAGGCCGTTAACATAAATAACAAATGGATTTGTTTTCCTGAATATCTTTTATTGTATGGCAGTATGCTCTGCTCTCCCGCAACCTCTACTCTAATCAAAAGACTAAACTAAAGGCTCAATTTATTCATTCGTTTTAAGTTTTTTTGATCCAAAAATGATAGCAACATAGTTTAAACGCTCTTTTTCTTACATTGGCATGTGCAAAGTAGGCGCCAGCTTTAAACATGCTCCATCCCGTAGGAAAGAATACAATGATGGAGTGATAATCAACACCCCTCACACCCTCAGACAAAATGGAAAGACGTCATGGAATTAAATGCTGTAATACCACAACACCCAGTATCAAAATAAACCTTGCTTCCGTTTGAAGCTCTAGAATCTCCAGTGTCCTGTTCAATGCCCTCAATCAATGCTAATGAGCTATCGGATGAACTCCAAGATGGTTCAAGGTTAATGACAGGATTGGTAATAACAGGAACAATAGCACGCTGTGTGTTCTGTGTCCCATCAAGTGACTGGAAGGCAATCACTTGGATTTTCCCAACCTGTGGCAACATCAAAATACGATTCAGCGAGACAAAACCATGCATAAGTGTCCCAGATAGGAAGTAACCTTAATGTGTACACAGAGTATAAGCTTTCCTACCTTTTGAGCATCTTCACTAAAACAGGAAAATATCAGCCCAACAAAGCCTGGATCTAGCAACTGAAACATAGCCTGGGTACGCACATCTGGAGAAAAAAAGTCAAAGTTTAGCCTCACTGCAGATGGGCACCATCTCGTAAGAGAGGCAAAGCATAAAAGCAGATGCACTAGCAAATTGTCTAGATTTCTATTTTGTTGTCGTCAATTGGTTAGTGGCCAGTAATGGACCCTTGTATTCAGGACAGTATAGGGTTGGTGCTATACCGGAAATTCCGGAGCAAAGCTACATAGCTAAATATGGAACTCCCTATCCCAAATAGACAAAAGCATAGGTGATTAGCTACCACAGCCCACAACATATTGGCATCCGTTTTCCAAAATGGGCAAGCGAACACTAATGGGGATAATTGAAGGGTTGCATATTTAAAAATAGCATGGCTAGGACAAAACAAACTTGCTAGTAAATTCTCAAGCTGCATAGATAAAAACTATGTAGTATCACGTCACAGGTTTGTGGCAAATCAATGCATACCACAGGGTTGCCAGAACAGAAGGCACTTGAGCATAGTAAAACACAGCCCTGGGCAGTGGGCACACAATAGACCGCCAATGCGAGGGAATTCGTGTGGCTTGCTTACCTACATGGGAAGGCAGGACGGTGATATGCGGGTGCGAGTGGTACCAGCCGATCACCCGGGTCGTCTTCCCGATGGTGGCCGTCATTACGTGCTAGCAGAGTTAAGGCCAACATCCCCAAAACCCTACTGTAAACTCAATCCACACAACACCAAATAGTACTAATACTAAGAAACTAAATGAGAGGGGGAAGTAAAGAAGGATATCTCGGCCTGCGCCGACGCGGCGGCGAGCAGCTCGGGGTTGACCTCGACGCGGTCCTTCTTCCGCTCGCACCTCATCTGCGGCGACGCGCCCCATATCACCGCCGTGGAGCCGCCCTTGCTGGAGGACTGCGGGCAGGGAGAGAGGGGAATCAGCGCGATCTCAGACATTCGCGAGGGGGGGAGCGGGGAGGGGAGGG